TTTAAGTTACAATTTAGAGCATTACCTCTAAGCAGACACGTTCAAATCTTGATTATGCCATATGTAAACATTGTAACTTTAGAGAAATGCTAACTTAATCCTGACAAGTTACACATTCCTTATTTTTCATTAGGGGCAACAGTTATATATTAAAGAATAATAATAAGGAATACATGAAATATGTAGAGTACTTGGCACTCTGTTTCATACATAAGCACTACACATCAGCAAAACACAATAGTTCTTGCTGTGTTTCTTCCTCTCTTTCCAAAATTATTGTTATTATTAAGCCAAGGCTCAATGTTTTGAGCCACATAAATAATAGCTACCTGTATCAAATCATGAATTCCCTTCTGCTGATTATAAGTCTCTCTCTTTTTTTTTTACTGTAACATTTTATGATTCCATTTGGAGGCTATTTTGACAGATTAAATTAATTTACAATGATTGACAAATGTTCGGTCTGGTCTACTGCCTTTATTTCAATCAACTTGTCCCCATACCAAATGGCAGCATTAGTTGAGAGCAACTGCTCAGCACCTCCTACTTATTCAAGACATGGGACTTACATTTCTCTGCTTTGTTCCTCTTCATGGCCTTAAACTCTCTTCTCTATTGCTGACATCCTCTCATCTTGGGTTGGGCACAGTGGCTCACACCTGCAATTCCAGCATTTTGGGAGGCGGAGGTGGGTGGATCATCTGAGGTCAGAAGTTCAAGACCAGCTTGACCAATGTGGTGAAACCCTGTCTGTACTGGAAATACCAAAATTAGCCAGGCATGGTGATGTGTGCCTGTAGTCCCAGCTACTCAGGAGGCTGAGACGGGAGAATTGCTTGAACCTTGGAGGAGGAGGTTGCAATGAGCTGAGATTGTGCCACTGCACTCCATCCTGGGTGACAGAGCGAGACTCCATCTCAAAAAACAAAAAATAAAAAAGAAGGAAGTTCTTTAAGATTAGGCTATCAAGAAAACCAACAAATCCAACTTCAAGATTTGCATTAGTGAGAAAGAAAGGCGTGGTAGTGGGTCATTTAACAATGACCTGTTCAATTTTTGGACAGTAACTGAATGTGTCTTTCAAGGTTTTGATTTCTTTTTTTTTTTTTTGAGACGGAATCTCGCTCTGTCGCCCAGACTGGAGTGCAGTGGCCGGATCTCAGCTCACTGCAAGCTCCGCCTCCCGGGTTCACGCCATTCTGCTGCGTCAGCCTCCCGAGTAGCTGGGACTACAGGCGCCCGCCACCTCGCCCAGCTAGTTTTTTTGTATTTTTTAGTAGAGACGGAGTTTCACCGTGTTCGCCAGGATGGACTTGATCTCCTGACCTCGTGATCCGCCCGCCTCGGCCTCCCAAAGTGCTGGGATTACAGGCTTGAGCCACCGCACCCGGCTAAGGTTTTGATTTCTAAATCTTCATAAAAGATCAGAATTATATTTAACTTTTAACTTTTATGCACCTAATTTCTTTTTATATATACCCTTTCACTGAGCCAGCTTCCAATTTCTAGTTTCCAAATGCAAGACAGACTTCTATGTGGAACTTCTCAGTGCAAGGGTGGGATTCAAGTTGATGGAAGAGTGGAGAACGTGGGAAAAGTGTGTTATATCCTGGCTGCAGTTAGACTTTTTACCATTTTAGTTAAATTATTATAAGGGAGTGAAATCCTATCTTTGTAGCTACTTTTAAAAAATTACTATAAATCATCATTTACACACCATGTATTCATTAGAAGATAGGCTTTATCTTTGATGAATTATCAATATATTAGCAGTTACAGCAATTCTCTTATAACATCTTTTGTATACATTCATCTCCATAGTGCTATTATATCAGTTAATTATTCAGAGTTATTCAAAGAATGTTTTAGACCAAAATATTTGCAACAAATAAGTCTTTAGATTGTTTTAAAAATGCATCTTAAAAATAATTATTCACAATTTCCAAAATTTGTTTCATTTTCAGCAGATAACTTATAAAAAGTTCAATATTAAATTATAAGAATAATATACAAATTATACCAGCATAAACGTTATCTAGGACTATTCTTTTCAGTTGTAAGATCTAGTGTATTGATTATTTGATTGATTCATTAATCAAGTATTCATTAAATACCTGACAAGAACTGTGCTAGGCTCTGAAGAATATAGTAGTAAACAGAACAAGTAAGTTCCTTGTCTTTATCAAATTTTGAATGTAACTTACTTTTCTATAAGCTGATTTATAAAACAAAAACAAAAACAAAACAAAACAAAAACCAGTATTGTGCCCTTTCCCGGTAAATATTCAATTACTTCATGAAATTATTATAGTTGGAAAGACATGTTCTAAAGAGAAAGGTCAGCTGGCTTTTCAGATGAGTTCTCAATGATGGTAGCTGTATCTTGGAGATGTCACTGTGGTCAAGGGCATAGAAAGCTAATTTAACCAAAAACCTAACCTAACTGTTCATTCATCATGAATATGCTTTGGGAAATGTGGATAGATTTTATATATTAAGTATCTCAAGTCTAAATTCAATGATTGCAGGAAGTCCACACCATGTATCAATGGAGAATTGCCAATTTTGTATATTTCAGCAGTCATGGAAATGCCTTAGTCGATGATAAGAAGCAGTATGAATTAGCAGCACTAATTCATCCTCAGCGCTTAGGAGTGTAATGGGTGGACTGAGTTTCTTCTAAGACATTGTTTATTTGATTATAGCTGTTAGCGTACAGAGTTATTTCCTGTTAGATGTTAAACACACACACACACACGCACACACACAAAGAAATGTATGCCTATTTCCAAAACTTCAGTATTCCATGTTCAAAGTCGTGAGATTTGCTTACATGTTATTACTGTGATTATAGAAACAGCTTTAAGCAGTCCCTGACATTTTTAATGTAACTACACAGTGTACATCGTGAATCTAAATGGTAAATACTGTATTGAGTAACATTACTGATAATCAGAAAGTTGTTTGGGGTGCCTGGATTCAAAACAAAATAGTTGAACCATCTTGAGGGATGCTTCATTAAGTCATAGGGTAACTATGCAACCGTTCTTGACACACAACAGAGATTCCCGTCTCTGTGACTGAAACACTGCTCTCTACTGGATATAATATTTCTATATTTATTCAGGCATATAGTCATTGACTCACAAGTCATCAAAATTATCTTGGAAGCTATATATATTAACATTCCTCCTTTTTATGAGAGTTCAGATATATGTTAATATTCCTCCTTTTTATGAGTTTATCAAATGTTATTCATAATCAATTTTCCTGGGCAGTGGGGGTTGTAAAACTATCACAGAAAATGTACATATCGATTAAAAGTCATATTTTGATTTCAAAAACATTAAAATGGAAATGAAGATGAATTGTACTGTCAAAGTTTTATTATGGAGTGATGAAAAAAATGTTAACTAGGTTAAGTGAAAACTATATTTCTCTCATAAGGCAGTGTTTGAGTCATTTGCCCTGTGTCTACTCAGCAGTATTTGACTCTTGGGGTCTTCTCAAAGACCTTTGTGTGTCTCTGAGCTGGACTAGGTAATAAAGATGGGTCTGGGCTTAAGGAAGTTTGAGAGAAAGAATTTAGACTCAGCTGAAGTTATATGTACTTGGTTTTACTTGTTAACCAATGAACAATTTGTGGTTGCCTGGAAAATGGCTTCTCAAAATATTTCTATGTCTTAAACCCTGGAACCTGTGAATACTATCTTATATGGCAAGAAAAAATATCTTTGTAGATGTGATTGAATTAAGAATTTTGACAAGATCAGGAATGTTCAGGGTGGTATGGCCATAGACTAAATTAAGAATTTTGAGATGGGGAGGTTATCTTGAATTATCTGGGTGAGCTCCACTGCAACCACATGTAACTTCATAAAGGGATGCAGAGTAAGATTTGGCTACATGCACAGAAGAGGAGGCAATATGAAAACAGAGCAGAGACAAATCTGAAGATGCTGTCTTGGAGATTGAACTGGTGTGGCTACAAGTCACGGAATATTATTGGCCAGGAGAAACTGGAAGAGACAATGAATAGATTCTCTTTTGCAGCCTCTGCAGGGAGCACAGCCCTACCACACCTTGATTTTGGACTGCTAGACTCTAGAACTGTAAGAGAATAAATTTCTGTTTTTCAGTGGCACCAAGATTGTGGTAATTTGTTACCACAGCCAAAAGAAATTAATACAGGGGTAGTGGAAAAGATAAACACAAGATTAAGCATCCACGAAGGTATAGACGTGGCTCCATATTGCCTCCCTTTTTGTTCACGGAGGTGCACCTGAGACTGGCTCTTCTTAGCAACTGAGTAGTATGTGAGGAATCTGAAAGGTAAGTCAGTATCAAAGCTCATGTTCTCATTTCTATTGTGTTGCTACATTTTTAGATAGCATGCAGTTAAAAAACTTAAAATTAATGGCAAATGGTTTTTCTTTATTTATTTTCATTAGAGAGACAAGACTATGTCAAACAAAAGAGTCTATGGCCTTGGGATTATATTCTTCTCTGTTAGCAAGGAGAGTGTTTCAGTATGGGTGAGAAGTGTTGCCTAAAGCAAGTCAAAGTGTCCTGCAAAATTTTCCTAAGCTCTGGCATGGAATTACCATGAGCAAGGTAAACTACTCAATCTTATGCACATATATGTAAGAAAGACAGCTTACATATATGTAAGGAGCCCATTGACATGTATGAAGCTTCTTTCGCTAAACAACCTCTTTCCCCTCACCCAATACTACTCTGCCTTAATTATCCCAAATGTCATACATTAAAATTATCCCCATGTATCTTCAATTAAAGCCATTCACAGTAGTTTCTATCTCTGGAGCAATATTGCCTAATCTGTATTTGAGACACTCGTTAAAATATACCAATAATATTTGAAAGGATGAGAATTTTCTTAGATTTAAAACTGAGGATACTCCTAATGACTTTAATTGGAGATCAATATCCTCTTGGTCTCGAGCATCATGTTAGTGAAGAAATACTATGGTTCCCTGAACTCTTCTTGCTGCTGGGGGAAAGAAAAGCAATTGGATAGTTAATAACCAGTATTACTTCTTTTCCTCTGATGCCCATCTCCCTTACGATGGATATGTGCAGCCTTACAATAAGCTCCATTTCTCCAGGAAACTTGAATCAGTCTCCATTCTCTGAAACAAAATGATATTTTATTACCAAAAACACTTTCTAAAAAACATTTAAAAATGCAGAATAGATTTTATTTAAAATGAATATTCCCCTAGAAACAAAATGAAAACATGAAATGATTTATATTTACGTTTATATTTAACCAAAATGTTACAACTCTACATAAAAACTTAAAACAAATGATTTAGTCCATGCTTTTCATTGGTTTCACAAAAATCAAGGACAACTACTCTTTGTATAAACATTTGTCATATGGGTGTGTTTATACATGTATATACATGTATAAACATTTATCATATATATGTGTGTATATACATGTATAAACATACACATATACATCATAGGTCACATTCAATAGTGAGCATTAGAACTTAATTTTTATATATCATATTTTTATTATGATACTTTTTGATAGAAGTCTTTTGAAATTGTAGATTATTTTATGTTTTATATAATAACCAAAAAAAATGATGCCAGCAGTCTTCAAAGAATAATATTCCAAAAGGTGAAATGCCCCAAGGTATTTTTTTCTGTTGAATTGTTTAATATTGGTAGACATTCCTGATATAAACTCTATTTTTAAAGATTATTTTATATGATCTTAAAATTTTTATTTAGTCAGTAATCAAAAGGATAAAATTTAAATGGAAATTTTTTTTCACTACGAGTTTTCTGTATTTTAATATTGAAAGAAAAAACTCAAAATGTTAGTCATATAGCTCTTATTTTGATGATAGCAATGTCTGTGTCTGGAACTAGATTTGTCAGGATCTGTAACTAGTTATATAAAAATCCTTGATGTGATTTTCACAACCAACATTAAAGTTGATCAACCCTTTTAAATACTGTTTTGAAACATTAAAGTTTAGTTTTATTGTTTGGGAATACAATTGAGAACTGCAATACATTTAAAATAAAGCCATGGACCTCAATAATTAATCAAATTCAGACCTTTTTAAATGAATAAAAAGATGCATATAATTGGTCAGATGTTAAAGGCAGCCCATAACATAGTCAAGACATAAGTCTGATATTATTTCCATAACAAGATATGTACTCATTGTTAAGTTGTTGTAGTTCTGTGCCTGAGTTTTCCTATTTGTAAAATGGGGATGATGATAGTAAAACATCCGTCTTAGGGTTGGTCTGAGGATTAACTGAGGCCGTCCACGAGAAGCATTAGTACTATGCCTGACACATAGCAAGCACTTACTAAATGGGTGTCTAATATTATTAACTTAGTGATTGATAATTCTTCCATTTGATGAATACTTATTAAGCATCTATTCTACTTCAGCCACTAATAAGCAGGCATCTAACTAATATGTTAAAAAAAATCAAGCAGTAGATTCTGGAATGTAGGTAGAATGCAGGTTAAAATAAGAAATCTAAAGACTTTAATATGGGTTTTATCTTTTTCCAAATAGAGTACAGTGGTGGGTCAATTTATAAGCTTCACGTAAGAGAACACGAGATGGCAGATCTGCCTGAGGATTCTAAGAAGAAAATAAGACTTTATCAAGTATGAATGCATGGAAAACAAAAGGGACAGGGAATGGCAAATGAAAAGAAAAGATATAAACCACATTTTTTTCTATTGTGTTCTTTGGTATCTATTATTAATGTCTGTGGATAGTTCCATTGAACATGAGGAAAGGGCATTTCACCTTGTACATTTCACCTTGTACAAAGTGAATTATCTTTTCTTTGATTTACCCAAACTTACATTACGTAGCCATTTCATACATTGAAGATAGATGTTTCAAACATTATAGCTATATCATGGACTTAACTGAGGCATACTATGTGATAATGTGGTATATAATCTATGAAGCACCACACAAATGGTAATTATTTTTATACTTAAAAAAAAAATCTGTATTTAAAGATGTCTGTTCTCCAAAATAATATTTCTTGAAAACATAAATATGCCTCTTTCACTTTTATTTCCTTAGTGCTCTCCCAACGCTGCAAGGATATTTGCTGAATAAGTAAATAAGCACATGCTTCCAGCAGTGCACTGACTGAAAGACTGTGGGACATCTCATAGCCAGCTTCACCTGCTGTACAATGTGACCACTCTGTGACCAGCGCACCATGCAGATAAAATCGATTGAAATGGAGCATGACTGAAACTACTTTGAATATGAATGGAATTAATTGGCAGGACAAGTACAAGAGCATTGATAGAATCAGTTATATATTTTGCCAAGGTAATGGGGATCAGTGAGAGAAGAGCACTTCCAAGATAATTTCACATTAACTAAATAACCAATGATCACTTTTAAACTTGCTACTGCTGCCTTCCTGGATCATAGCTAACCCGCTTGGATGGTCTGGGAAACTGGGGGTTGCACAGAAGAAGATACATTTATGTAAGTCACACCCTATCATTTTTAGAATACTCGTTTTATTTGTCTTTATAGGAAATAGTGTCAACATTATTTTGAAACATAATTGAATAAAGTAAATAATTGCTTTATTTAATGGTGCATTTGAAAAGATAAAAGCTAATCGATTGATGATTTTATTTGATTTGTGAACAATTTTCACATGTTAATTCACGCTATTTTTTCCCCTAAAGTCTGTAAAATACATTTTGTTAATGTATCCCTAATTGAAGATATACTCTACGGTAAATGACTTCATGAAAATAATTCTGGAATTATTCAAAATAAATGTCACATATTTTAGCTGAATTAATTTATCATAAAAGTACTTTGACTAAAACAAAATGTGTTCTATTCTTTGAGTAAGAAAAAAGAAAATTTGACTCCAACTCTACAGACACTTCCAGGCCAATATGGTAACCTGCTTGCAAGGACTCATATGTTCTCTTCAAGGTTCCTAGTAAATGTATTAAATGATAAATATGATGCCATTTAAAATCAAAGCCAATCCATTATAAATAATGGGAACAGGAAAGTTATAGTGGCAGGCTTCTAATCTAGGATTAAGAAACACGAAGTAAAACTAAACACTAAAACTAGCATTTAGGGAAACAGTTACAGGCTTTGAGAATTTTCCCTTCTACCTGCTAAGAAATAGCTTGTAACTGGCCAATCCTCCCACTAAGAACAAGTGAAAAAGTGAAAAAAGAAGCACACAATCAAACAACCCGTCTGTTTGAAGGCTTTGAAGAGTAACTAAGACAGCCAAGATTTAAAGAACTAAGATTCCAGAGAAAAATAAAACTCCTGAGATGATTTTGACTTTCTATACGGAAGCACTATTCTTTTCAAGCAGTTGTTGATTCACAAATTTCATGGATAGAGATGCTCATCAAACAAGAAGAAAGTAATTATTAAAAGCTGAAGAAACTGAATTTTGAGAACTTTCAGCAATCTCATGGACCTGTGAACAAAAAAACAAGTTCAAAGCTGACAAGGCAACAACAACAACAACAACAACGACAACAACAAAAAGAAGTGTAAATACCCAAGATATGCAGAAAGTGAGACCAACAGTCTGAGCTGCATTTTCCCTTACAGAGTTTGGTGATTGATTAGTAATTCAAGACGAGAGACAGACATGCTAGACTGGAAGTGGTTGCTAATGAGAACTTCCCCTGTCTTGGGAAAGCAGCTGACTTAAGTAATTTTGTAAAACAATATTTGTACTACAAACTATAAGGCTAAAGCCAGAAAAGACTGTTTAAAAACAGTTAGTAAATTTGTTTCTCACAGTGGTATGGATTACCAATTCTGAAATTATTTTATATATGTACTACGTTTGAACAATAAGTAAATATAATGAAGATGACAACCATATTTCTCACTGTCAGAGAAAAAAGTTGTAATGAGTAAATGAGAGAATGCTAGGATGAACCTGATTGTTTTGTATTAGAATGGGAGATATGAGTATAAATATATGACTTAACACAACCCACATTTATTATATTAGTGTTCTGTAAGTCAGAAGTCCAACATGGGTATGACAGGGATAGAATCAAGGGGCAGCAGGACTGCCCCTTTGGAGGCCTCTCCCTAGTTCTTGCATGTAGCCCCCTTTATTTCGCAGTCAGCGTGGGGTATCAAACGTTTTTCATGTTGTCATTGTTCTCTGACGACAGCTAAAACATTCTCTACTTTTAAGGACTCATGATTACATTGGTCCCACTTATATTAATCCAGGATAATTTTGCCATCTTGAGGTCCCTGATATTAAGCACATTTGCAAAGTTTCTTTTTCCATAAATGTAACATATTCAGGGGCTCTGAAAATTCTTGTGCGGTCATGTGAATGCCTGTTAACTTAGGCTTTGTACATTTTGGGGCTATATTTTGCCAGCATATATAATCTCTCTCTCTCTCTCTCTCTCTCTCACACACACACACACACACACACACACAAACACAGATTTATAAAATCAGATATAAATATTTATACACAAAGATATAAAATCAGAATTGAATTTAACAACTTTCCCTGTGAAATTTAACTTTTATCATCATGTGATTATTCATTTTACTGCCAGTAATTCTATTTGCCTAACACTTAATTTGTCTTATGGTAAAATAGTCACACCAGAAAATGATTGATAATAAATGCAAAGAGGCAGAAAATTATAGAAGTGACTGAAGTACTCCCAAAGAAGATGAAAGGAAAAAGCTGAAGCCAAAATAATGACATATGACATGAGAAAGATTTTTTGACTAAAACAAACATATAAACAACAACCTTGAGCTTGAAGACTGAAAAAATATTCAAATTCTTGTTAAAATTGATGAAAGCCCCATCCTTGAAATTAAAAAAAAAAAAAATCTCACCCAGGATACAACTTAAAAAACAAAAATACTTTAAAAAAATAATAGGTAGCTATGTGGCAGAAGTCATTCTCACTTTGAATACACCTCTATAGTGCTAAATATTAGAAAATAAAATGCTGAAAGAAAATTTATGATGTCACAATTTTATATTCAGTCAAGTGTCCATTCATGTATGAAGGAAATAGAAAGCTATATTAAATATAGCTGTTTTGGAAATTTGCCTCTATCAGGAG